AGAATCTATGTGGCTGCCATTTCGGCTTGAAATGCTCTGATTGATGGGGTTTCTGTGGGAAAGCACCCTTTAGTCGCCCGCTTCATTCGTGGAGCCAAGCGGTTGAGGCCGTCCACTAGAGCGACAGTCCCTTTGTGGGACTTAGCTATAGTGCTCGAGGGTCTGGTTGACACCCCTTTCGAACCACTAGAGTCAGCACCTGTCAGGTTTCTGACCCTAAAGATGGTTTTTCTAATGGCTATTACTTCTCTGAAGAGAATTGGGGATTTGCAGGCTCTTGTCAGTCTCGCCATCCTGCCTAGACTTTACCCCTGGGCTGGTCAAAGCTATTTTGCATCCTCACCCTAATTATCTTCAGAAAGTTCCATTCTTGACCATACATCCAATCGTTCTTGAAGCCTTCTGCCCTCCGCCGTTCACGACACCGGAGCAGGAAAGACTTCACTTTCTGTGTCCAGTACGTGCTCTTCAGATTTACTTCCACCGCACCAGCCAGTGGCGTAAGTCGGAGCAGCTTTTCACATGCTATGGGGGCCGCAACTGGGGGCAGCTGCCACTAAACAAACTAGTAAACAAAATCCCTCACATTGGGTGAGGGATGCTATTGCCCTAGCCTACGAGGCGCGTGGTCAAGCTTCGCCTCTAGGAGTTAGGGCCCATTCAACCAGGGGGGTTGCATCTTCTACGGCTTTAGCAAGCAGTGTCCCCTTGCAGCAAGTGTGTGATGTGGCAGGCTGGTCCTCTCCGCACACATTTGTCAGATTGTTTAGTTTGAATGTCCATGCTACTCCGGGCTCATGTGTCCTTGAGTCAACATCCCAGAGTCATGTCTGAGACCTCTTCAGTGCTTGTGAGCAAACACTACACAACCTTGGGGGGTCCAGACACTTCCAGTACGGTGGCATTGGTATTCTCGTTCCTGCAAGCATTTGAAATGCAGCATCGAGAGTAGCTTTTGATAGGGAACGTTACAGGTTACTTGACTGTAACCCTGTTCCCTGAAAAAGCGGGAACGAGATGCTGCGCCTCAATGCCGCACTGTAGGCGTGCCCGGATGTCCTTTCAGACAAAGGTGAACAGGATGTGTCCGTTTCACATGTATTTATAAACTCTCAGGTGTGTAACCAATGCCAATTCTTGGCGTGTTTGACACATAAGCTTTATAACCGGTCGAACAAAGAATGTTCTCACAAGCGTTTGAAACGCAGCATCTTGTTCCTGCTTTTTCAGGGAACAGGGTTACAGTCAAGTAACCCGAGATGGACACCTTGTTGCCACACGCATCTGTAATCTAGCGCAGTTTAATCCTCACACTTTAATAGTATTTACAGCTGCTAACAGGTTGTGATTATGAGGAATGAAATGTACGATGCTACATAGTTTTCCCTATCGCTTACGTCCCACTGCCTGTGATTATCCCTTATGCTGAGTTCACACTGCACGATTTTCAAACTCGTCGGATCGCCGTTGTTTTCACACTGTGTGACTATCTGGGGACAGAATTCGGTTGCTGCTGTGTTCACACTGCACGATGGATCGGCGACAGAAGGTTTCACATTGCATGACTTCACAATAGGAAGAATCGCCGACAGCTTTGTCTGGTGCAGGGTTGCCAGGTTTTCGCTACAAAACCCACCCAATTACTACTCAAAACTAGCCTGAAAATAGCCCAATTGCTTTCGAGGGGGTCCCCCAATAAAAATCGCTTTCGGGGGTAAAATAAATTTTTTTTTGGCGGGGTTCTCCTGGTACAATTCACATTCCAGGGCCTAAATATCACGTTATTGGGGTCGCTTCAACCTGCTGACATAAAAAACAACCGGCGGCAATCGCGGATTTAGCATGCCAAATATTTTACGGTCGTCTGCGACGAGTCGGCGATTCCCTCAGATCGCGTTTTTTTGATAATTCACACTGCGTGATTGTCACTCGCGTGAACGAGCACCGATTTGCCTCCGATTTCGCCATTTGTCTGCAATTTCGCAAAACCTGTCCGCGAGTGAAAAATCGTGCTAAAATCGTGCAGTGTGAACTCGGCATTAGCGTGCCAGCATTAACTTGCCATAGTTTGTCGACCCCTGCTCTAAATTAACCAAGCTCATGACCTTATTAAACTCATGATCTGTAATTTTGGTACAAGCCAGATAGTTTCAGCACTGCTTATGATCCTAGCAAATTATGGTTTTAAATGAACTTCCCCTATTAAATGAAAGGGAAATTGCATTCTATCTAGATCAGGGCTGCGTTCAGCCCCGACAAAAACGGTGCAAAACGTTCTTTAAACGGAAACGGTGGTGCGTTGAACACCCTGTTCTGATGACGCAAGAGGTGCAACTATGGCAGCTGAGAAGGCCATTCTTTGTGCTCTTTTTGAAGAATTTTCGGAGCCTGATGAAATTGGTATAAATATGTGTTTAATACTGCAAAATACGCTCGATGGTACAGTCACTGCCCTTGCCCTCCAGAATAAAAGAGAACATCCCAATCAAATGAAGGGATTTGTGGAAACTGTGGTTCCTAATTATTGTGATCCAACATTTGCCTCGCATTTCAGGATGAAAAGACAAACATTTCAGGTGAAGGATAATCCACTTCTTACCTCCGAGACTGTGTTATGATCTATATGACCTTATTATTTTTATTGTGAGTATTAGGCTTATCATTATTGCTGATCACTGTTGTTGTGCTATGATATTGTAATATTTACCATTATATAATCAGAGCAGTATAGAAAAGTTTATGAAAGTGTCACTCCATAATACAATAGCAAAATATATAAATATGTATAGCATTTTTATGTAACATTAATCAGTATTTAGCACACAATAGAAGACATTGCAATTACTAAATGATATTTAGACAGACTTAAGGAAGTTCAAGATCTATACTTGTGCTCTTATTATTTCAGTTATTTTGCCTTTAATGTAAATAAACATGTGCAAACAATATACTTGCTCTTGTGAATTTATTTTAATGCTAGCTGTCTCTTTAATACCATGTGGTTTATATACATGCAGCTGCTGATTGGGCTGACATGTTTGACACACACACCAAACAAGAGAAAATGCATCTCAAACCCCGTTGCACACCGTTTCCAGGAAACATGTCGTTCAAACCGGAAACCGTAGCAAAACGGTGCACACCAGTTTGAGCTTGAACTTGCACTGTATTTATACCAGAATAATTTAGTATTATTGTGTGTCAGACCATGTATTTCTTTCTCTACATAGTCCAGAGGACGCTGAGAGCATCAGCCTGATGGCTTCATTCCCTGATCTGTTTGGGAGTGTGTTCATGTTTGCGAAGGAGAGAGGATGGAACTCCAGAGCGAGTCTGAAACAGTTCTTCAGCTCAGCTCCACAGATCTGATTGTTGTATTTTTAGTTAAACTATGTCCATTGATTTTGCATTATGAATGTGTTTCATGAATGAGTTTAAATGTAGGGACATATTTAAGATCGTCACACTCCTTGTATCTGATGAGCTAAGATTTATTCTTCTCTGCAAACAAAGTTCTGACAGCTTGCCACAAAATGAAAAACCATGGATATGTAAACTTTATTTCAGTTTTTGTATTTTCTTGTTGAAAACATGCAAACATCTATAAATATATCAATTAATAAATAAACAAACAGCTTTTTTTAAATGATCTGCATGTTTAAATAATGAATTGATAGAAGTCATTATGTTATTATATAAGAAATGTAATGTTAATTTCAATAAGGATAAGATAGAAATGTGTTTATAAGATACATAAATAGATTTTTTTTTTCAACAATACAGTAACTTCTTGTTCCTTCTTTACAAGGATGCCTGTTGCCATCTTGCCCTTTAGCAAATGTGCATTTTGATTAAAAACACACAAAGAAAGTTATTGTTCATATCCAAGCAAATCTGACGTAAATGAAATATCCTGACCGTCTCATAAAACCCCGTGACCTGAAATTCTGGCAACAGACAGACCAGTCATACAGCAAAATGAAAGTCTGTCTAAACTCAGTGGCGGAATGGATTTAAAACTCACTGGGGTAACATTTTGTCCTAAACATTTCTGAAAAAGTTCTTCAGCTCAGCTCCACAGATCTGATTGTTGTATTTTTAGTTAAACTATGTACATTGATTTTGCATTATGAATGTGTTTCATGAATGAGTTTAAATGTAGGGACATATTTAAGATCGTCACACTCCTTGTATCTGATGAGCTAAGATTTATTCTTCTCTGCAAACAAAGTTCTGACAGCTTGCCACAAAATGAAAAACCATGGATATGTAAACTTTATTTCAGTTTTTGTATTTTCTTGTTGAAAACATGCAAACATCTATAAATATATCAATTAATAAATAAACAAACAGCTTTTTTAAATGATCTGCATGTTTAAATAATGAATTGATAGAAGTCATTATGTTATTATATAAGAAATGTAATGTTAATTTCAATAAGGATAAGATAGAAATGTGTTTATAAGATACATAAATAGATTTTTTTTTTCAACAATACAGTAACTTCTTGTTCCTTCTTTACAAGGATGCCTGTTGCCATCTTGCCCTTTAGCAAATGTGCATTTTGATTAAAAACACACAAAGAAAGTTATTGTTCATATCCAAGCAAATCTGACGTAAATGAAATATCCTGACCGTCTCATAAAACCCCGTGACCTGAAATTCTGGCAACAGACAGACCAGTCATACAGCAAAATGAAAGTCTGTCTAAACTCAGTGGCGGAATGGATTTAAAACTCACTGGGGTAACATTTTGTCCTAAACATTGGCAAAACCCACTAAATTTCTCCTTTCAAAAGCTAATTGCTAAAAAATGTTCCACAAGGTTTTTCAAAGGCATTTATTATATTTACCAAAGCTCTATAAATTGAACAAAATCAATCCTTAGTACTAAGGACTATGAACCAATAAAAGCTGTCATTAACTTCATGCAACCAATTGGACAATATGTACGGATATATAAGCGGAGTTCTTCAGATGAACTGAGGAGGGCAGCAATGCGCCTTTGATGCGTCCAGCCCGCCGCAAATATTAACAAGAAGAAGAAGCAGTTTCATGTTCGCCCACATCTGAAGAGCTGCGGAGTCACTGCACGCAAAGCATAGGAAATAGTTGTGCGTAAGTATTATTATTTTTCTTCGTCGTTGTTAAAGGCTACTTGTTTTTTTAATAATAGGCCTACGTGATTCTTTTTTTATTTTGTTTTTCTCGTTTGTGTAGCTCCACGGAATAGATGCCTTAATTCATAACGAGTTAACGGAACATACACACAACGCAGATCTAATCACTTATCTCTTGAAAATGTAATATGTTAGGGGCTAGTTGATGATAGTGACAAATTAAAAAAATAATAGTTATTAAAATGAGAAGGTCAGGTGCAGGCCCGTCAAGAATAACTGAGGGTATGGAGGTCCAAACCTACAGAAAAAAAATGACTTGATAAAAACAAATATAGTTTATTTGTAATAAAATGTAATCCTGAATTTATTTTTATTACCTTTTTCCTATATGTACTATTTTCTGTATTTATTTTTACATTTATTTTTATTCTTTTGAACTTTTATTTACTTTTTCATTGGATTTTATATTTATTTATTTATTTTTAAATGTATTTATTCATGCATTAATTAATTTGTTATATTTATTTATTTCCACATGTATTTATTTCCAGATTTATTTATTCATTTTTTTTTCTTTTTACTTTTCCGTGTGCAACATGGAAATGATGGAGGCGGTCCTTGTGGAGCTCCGGTGAATCATTGGTTAAGAGCTCATGCAGAAGCGTCAGATCAACTGGAGAGTTCCAAGATATTTTCACAGATTCACATTATTATCAAGGCTGCACGATAAATATCACACGATATTTAATGCGCATCTCGTCAGTAAAGCCGGTTCTGTAATCAGCGGTAAATCTCTACACGTGCGTGCTTTCACTAATTATTACGTTCAATTATTTTATAGTGACTGAATTCAGCTACAGTTTCGTCAGTAAGCCTGGAACCATCAACATCGTCAATGAGATTCTAGGTTGATGACGCCTCTAGACCAAGCGGCAACCTTCCGGTCTTGCTCTTGAAACCAACACGGAAGTGTCTCAAACTGCAATTCATCAACTGGCCACTAGAGACTGGCTCCAAAAGGGAGTCAGCCCCATAGACTCGCCATGTTAAAATGCCCAACTTTACAGCAGAAAAAAATTAGTTTACAGCCTGGTACAAAAAGTGGTTTTGGTCTATATAGCTAATTTTGCACTTTATGACGACTGAGGGGGGTGAATTTTTTTATAACTAATCCGTTTAAAGGGGTCATATGATGCGATTTCAAGTTTTCCTTTCTCTTTGGAGTGTTACAAGCTCTTAGTGCATAAAGAAGATCTGTAAAGTTGCAAAGACTAAAGTCTCAAATCCAAAGAGATATTCTTTATAAAAGTTAAGAGTCAACCACACCTACCTAAAACGGCTCGTTCTAACACGCCCCCACATACCTACATCACTATGTGGGAAGATTTGCATAACGCCGCCCAAATGTTCACGCAAAGAAAGAAGGCGTAACTTTTATTCTCGCTGTAGTATTGTTGTTGCCGCCGGCGTGTCGTGAAGGCGCTGTGTGCTTCGTCGTGAAAGCGAAACTACTTTGTTTGGTCTTCCAAAAGAGGACGATATCCGCTTCGTCATGCCTGGAGCTGATCTGTGCTGGTCGCTGAGGAAATACATCAACTTAGTGCTGTGGATCATCGGATCGGCTTTCACCGTTTTCACCGCTCCTTCGTCGGATCCGCCAGGACCGCCGTTCTCGATCCTGCCGCTTCGGCTCACTCTTGCCCGGCCTCAGTTCACGCTAAGTCGGGGCTTCCCCTCACGCTAGGCTGCTGTGCTTTTCGTTGTGAAAGCAAAACTACTTTGTTTGGTCTTCCAAAAGAGGACACGACTAGAAATCAGTGGTTAAGTTGTGTTTACAACACTGTTCCAGAACACTTCAACCCAAATATTCAGATGTGTGCAGCACATTTTATGGAGGACTGTTTACTGATCCTGGGAGAGTAGACTACAATGCCGGCTGTTCTGACTCACGTAAGTAGGTTTTCATTTAAAGGATTTGCCACTGACGATTCAAACGAGAGTTTTGAGCAGTGTAGAGTAGCACTTGTTGTTTGTCATTTCTCTGATCACAAATGCAGACATGGTTTTATGTTTACGCGGCGCGATGCAATGCAACACAACACGTAAAAATAACATATAAGTCATTATAATCAGTAATTATGTCCCCACTGGATGCAACAATTGCCTCGTTTATAATGGGTTTTAATGTTTTTGTGTCGTCACTCCGGCCGGGACACGGCATCAACAGTATGGTGAGGGGTGTAACATTTCCGTCACGCGCTTGAGGTATTCGGCCAATCACAACGCACTGGATAGCTGACCAATCACAGCACACCTCGCTTTTCAGACCGATGAGCTTTGTAAAAATCGACGCGTTTCAAAAAGGTGGGGCATAGAGGAGAAACAATAATGTACAGTATGTGGAAAATAATGTGTTTTTTTTTACTTTAAACCGCATAAACACATTTCATTACACCAAATACACAAAATAATGTTCTTTTTAGCAGCATCATATGACCCCTTTAAATTATATTAAGCCTTAAAGTTCTGCATAATTAAGGGTGTGGCCACTTGAGTGACAGGTGGATTGCCGCTGCTGTCACCACCGTCTACACAATGCTTTTTGGAAATGAGGCCCCCTGGCAGTTGACATTAAAAATGGCTTTATTCGCAAGTTTAGGCACCATCTCACTTTGTTTGTAACTTCAATAGCATTTAAAGAGAATGACTTACAGTTAGGCCTGTCGCAATAATCAATATATCGACTTATCGCGCAATATATGTACATGACCTCAATCATTTTTGGTGACGCAATATATCGCCCATTATATTTACTTAAAAATTAATGATGGAAAATAGATGGAAAAATCTCCATACAAGTTCTTTGTGCATTTTTCTTTTTTTGTACTTGTTACTTTGCACTTTATGTTAGAAAATGTTTATTTACTATTTATTCAGGTTTTTAAGGTATCTAATATTTTGATACTTAATTTCCATGATCTAAATATTCTTAAAAATTAAAAGTTTGTTGTCATTTGGAAGTGTGTAGGCCTTCTTGCATTATTATGCTGTTAAATTATGATTATATATTCAGTGGCATAAAATGGTCTTTAAAATGACAATAATAATCGCTTATCGCAATTATTTCTGGGGCAATATATCACACAACAAAAAGTTATCATGACAGGCCTACTTACAGTCACAAAACCAACTGTAAAGTGTTCATCTACGAATCAGGCATATTTACAGTGGGGCAAAAAAGTATTTAGTCGGCCACCAATTGTGCAAGTACTTTTTTTCCCCACTGTAGATATGATTTGACAGTTTATTTTAATAAATATAAAAAAAATGAATGTGTATACCAAAATGTGTGTACCAATGTCGTATGTAACTTTAGAGATGGTCCCTAAACTTGTGAATATCGAACGTCCAATGTCAAGCCAACTTTATGCCAGTGGGCTGCGTTTATGCAACTGATTTATGATAAACTTTGCCTCACAATGCTTTTGGGATTCACGATTTTCTCTGTGATTACAAAATGAACACAAGCCTTAGAAATCTCCACCGAATGTGTCTAGAGGCATCATCAACCTAGAATCTCATCGACGATGTTGATGGTTCCGGTAGCCTACTTCATCTTTTTTTACCCTGTTAAGCTCTATTTAAAAAAAAATTATGTTTCTAGATATTAATTCTTTATGCTCCTTTTGTGGGCTGAAAATGAATCTGTGTCTCATATTTTTGGGGGAATGTATATATACACTTTTTGTTTTGGAAGGATTTCTATATTTTTCTACATGCTTTTTCTTCACAGAGTTTCTCTTTGTTATACAAAGATGTTTTATTTGGTCATCACAACTTTGCTAAAGAAGACCAGGGCCAATATTTTTTGATAAACTTTTTAAAGTTTCTAAGCCCTACTTTTCTGTTTTCTGTAAGGAACTTAAGTCCTACCTTGACACTCTTCTTACATCCAGCAATTCTAAAGCCCTTAAAACTGTCTCAATGTGTCATTTTTAGTTTCTTAATTTTGTAATGTAATTGTATTTTCAATTGCACTTACCCCTGGCATTGATCTTTTTTGTGTGTGTGCGTGATCTACCTTTTGACAAAAATAAAAAAAAATGTTGATGGTTCCAGGCTTACTGACGAAACTAACAGGATGACAACCATTTGTTTTTAGCAAGTAATTTATTTCTTTATTTTCCTGTTATTTTATCTATCTATCTATATACAGTGGGTACGGAAAGTATTCAGACCCCCTTAAATTTTTCACTCTTATTTATATTGCAGCCATTTGCTAAAATCATTTAAGTTAATTTTTTTTCCTCATTAATGTACACACAGCACCCCATATTGACAGAAAAACACAGAATTGTTGAAATTTTTGCAGATTTATTTTAATTTCTGCAGGTTTGGTGCTCCATACATAACAAGAATGGCACAGTGTAGAGACTTGGAATTGTATAGTAAGAGATTTAGATTTAAAATTCATTAGGCTACTTTTACAAAAAATAATTTGTTACAAATTTGAAGAAAAATAAATAAATTCAAGACCAAAATTCGACTGTTTCAAAATATTCTGATGTCTATGAATCTATCAGTCTGCATTTGTATCGCTGAGGCCTAATGCACATACAGTAGGCTATATTGACAGATTATATTTTTGTCCCGTCCATTGGTTATCACTGTGTCAGTCATCGCAATTTTGAAAGTGAATCCCACATTTATATGTGGATATGTGGCCCTTGCCCTCCCTTTCTAATTACTAAAAAGCACTTAAGTTCATCGCGATCTCACAAAGTTACATTATAATCAATAAAGCTCTACACTGCCCAGTGAATCCCTTATTTACAACGTGTCTAGACTTTGTTATAATAAGAGAGTTCATGATGTAGCGAATCAGCTCAAGGGGAAATATGAATAATTAATCATAACTAGTTATAATTAATTATAAATATTTAGATCCGCTGTAAGTATTTACTTGACCTCTCAGGGTCAACTGTCTGTCAATTCTAA